CTCTGGGGAAGAGGGGGGGGGAAAGATGAAAAGGTAAAATTAATTTGTTTCTTTGATAGGGCAGTTAAGAAGCACACTGACTCCAGAATATTTCAATAACTTATCCCCCTTTCTAATACTTCTGAGAGGGGAAGGAAAGCCAAATGCTCAAAACTGCCAGCACATCCACATCCTCTTGTGTGACAATTGAAAACTGAGACTAATTATAATGGCTCACACAGTCCAATTATGTTGCTGATCTAATCAGCTGCCATCAGGAGAAGAGCTGAATAAATCTGCACAATAGCTGGGACACAGACTCAATTTCTCACTGGCCTAGCACATTTAAAGCATGCTCATCAGCCGTATGACATCCAAAAAACAGGCGCTGGCTGCAAAAAGTTTTTGAACTTTCCTGTACCATTTCTCTACCCACAGACCAAAGGCAGAAGACTTTAATTTATAAAGGGTTTGGGTTTTTTTTTTTCCTGCTCTGGGCACATCCTCTTGAAACAAAGCAAATGTAACCACTCGGGTTTCATCAGTTAGCCATTAAATACATTATGAGGCAGAAAATTGGCAGAGAAAGTAAGGCTGATTTGTTCATGTTGCTCTTACTGTTGGCTCTTTGTGCACGCTCTGAATGGTAGGCCTCTGTAAACTGAGCTCAATACTTGTGGGGTCCTTCTTCAACTCGACTGGGGGCCTGTCCCCTCTGGCTACTCCGTCCAATTTCAGAGATCTGCTTGGCGAAGGAGTAAGTATTATTGTTGTGCACTCTTTATCCTTCTCTTCAACTCCATTGACATTCTCTCCATTCATGCTGACTTTTCCATCCACCTGCAGAACACAGTTAAATAAATATGATGAAGAAATTAGCTTTCAAGGGAATTTAAGAAATTAGGAACTCAATGTGACTGTTGTCATTTATTACTACTACCACCACCACCACTACTACTACTACTACTACGACTACTATTTTTGTTGTTCTTGCTAACACCATCTGCACCATCAGTACAGGAGAGAGCCAAGCACACATTTCAACAGGCCAAGAGAGACACAAACCCCATTCTGTGGGATTCATAAACAAAATACAGACAGAAAGTAGGAATTTTCCTGGTCTATCTCTCTATCTCTCTCTTTGTCTTTCAGTAACATACAAATACCCTTTGTGCACATCACATAAACAGAGGATTTTAAAAGGAGAACAACAAAGCTTTAATATAAAGTTAGGCTTAAAAATTTCTGGGTTTTGCACTGCTTCATGCAAGAGGCAAGCAGGTCTCCCCAGGACTAATTACACTGATGAACCACTATGCAATCTCACAAACTCACCACAGTGAGTAGACTGTGCTTTCTGAAGCACTACATTGTGACCTTGGAAGGGTCAGGAGCAGCAGAGTTCATCCATTTGTTTCTTTACTGCTCGTAACAGAGAAGCAAGGAACCAACAAATGCAATAGGGCATTCCACCATCTCCATGAGGTGATAAAATAAATAGCTGCTGGCTGCTTTCTCAGAAAATGAATTAATGCAGCCTCCATGAAAAGGAGAGTGTGCTGTGCAGAGAGATCCTTCCACTCAGTAGGAACATCATGGGAGACAATGAAGGTGAGGGAGCAAGTACTCCGACAGACTCTTCTCTGCTACTGAGTGGACCTTGGGGGAGCAACAGCATAGCTCAATGATTTCTTAGAGAAGCTAACTGGGATGAACAGGATGATTAGTCATTTCAGGTTACTCCACAGGTACTGCATAAACAAAAACCACAGGTAAAAACGAGCTCTGAGGTAAGCCATTCTGTGGGAACTTTTCACTTCAAAATGTTACTGAGAACTGATGCAACAAGTGTCTGATCTGCTCTATCAAACTGAAACACACCACTTAATATAACAAAGTTGCTTGCAGTCTTCCCTGCTCAACCTCCTTGCCCCTTTCCTTATGTCTGCACTCACTTATCTTCAGCACGTTACTTCTTGAGTAAACAGTTTGCCTACCTCAAGAGCAGCGCTTCAACTTAGTATATGCAATCAATGCTAAGCTAAGAGCAAACTCAGCTCTTGTTGACTTCTTGTAAACGTGCACCTAGAGATCTGCTCTTGTTACGAGGGTGATTCACTAAGGGGTCACCTCTGAGGCTCCGGGCACCCTCAGCGCTGGTAGAAGTGCCGGGAGGTGAAGGCAGCTAGCACCTCACACAATCAGCTCCCAGGCAGGGGAGAAGCAGACAGGGTCCGCAAGCATTTCAACAGCTCTAACTACTTTCATATGAAGGGGTGCCCTCCCTTTCCTCACTGCCATCATGTACTCAATGCAGAACTACTCATAAGGTTTATTTCTAAATGCAAGTGCGGGCAGATGTTGAACCCCAAGTCCTCTGGGACTGTGTGCTGGATTATCTATGAGAAAGGCAGGTCATGAAAGCTCTCAAAAATAAAAAAAGCCAGAAAAACACTAGCAGACCAAGCCATCCATTTTCATGTCTCTGTTTAGACTAAGACATTTCTCTATTTATATTAGGGAGGGAAACCAAATGTTTGAATGATCAGGACAGATGCCCTGCCTGCAGAGTTAAACAAACATACTCCTCTCCTCCTGATCTGGAGCAAGTCAACACATTGTCATCAGAGCAGACAATCACTGATAAACTGGTGCTTCAGGGTAAAATAATTCCGTAGCTACGCATTCTAGGGAATAACTCTTATTAAGATAAATCATATTGCTCCACAACAAGCAAACAGGATCTACACAGACTTCTCTTGGTGGTTGCGAGGAGAAGCATCCGTATGTCAGGGTCTCCCCATCTATGTGAACTACGTATGCAGTGATATGCCTGAGTCTAAAACACACGTATCCTAGTCCTACGAGGAAAAATATGGCAAAGATCAGAAAAGCCCAAAGAATCCATGATTAACTAAACTGATGACTAAAATGTAAACTCCTGGAAAAAAATGGCTCAGGTTTAGGGAAATAGGAGTTAACTGTTTTATGTTTCAACTAGTAAACATTGTAAATGGGGGGCTTTCCACAAGAACTGGGGCTTCAAGAAATAACAGACATCAAAACTTCCTTTTTCACCATCTATACAAAGCTGATTAATATTTTAAAGAGGCAAACCACCTGAATATACACAGTAGCAATGATGTTGTCCATAGCCGGGACATCAGGAGGCCTTTTGGGGCCCTCATGTGCTGCTAGCAAAGTACCAGATAGCAATGGCAGACCCAAGGGGACCAGCCAGAACTATACAGACTCAGGACACACTTACTGGGAGGCTTCACAATGCCAAGAGCAGCGGCTACCAGAAAGCTTGGGAACACTCCAGTTTTGGTACGGGCACTATTAGAAGCAGATTTCTTCAAACTTGGCCTATTCTGGCCTGTTCCCTCTAATGCCTGTCAGTTCTTCTTTGCTCAGTTCTTGCAGCCTGATCCAGCCACACTTCCACTCTCACCAGCAATCCCCAATTCCACTGCTGCGCCAGGACCAACCTGTTCCCCCTAAACCTGCACGGACACTTTATACTCCCTCTTTACTCCAGTAAAGCAGCTTTCCCCATTCATCCCTGGTGAGAAGCAGGACAGGCAGTACCTGTGGGCCAGCTGGTTCTTAAATCTGAATGGAGAACGGAGTGCCCACTGAACACAGGCACACTGTAACGTTTCAAAGGCTTACGATTGGGCTGAATTGGACAGACTTATTCGCATATGGCAAAAATCAAATCCCTGATGCAAAAGCCAGTTCAGGCCTGTTCCAAACTGTAGGGCCTCCAGATTCCCCTCTTTTGTTTAAAAAAAAACAAAAAAACCCCACAACATATTTTATCTTAACCTCTTTCTCACAAAGTGCCTTGCTGGTTTCTTAAGGTCCCTCTCCCCCTGCCCTTACCCAAACAAATTTAGCCTGAGGCAAAATGTCCTGCAGAAATATTCCAGTCTGAACAGGTGAAGTTTCAGAAGATGTTAGTAACCAAGAAGTGACCATTAGACTGAGAAGCACAGAGCACAAAGCTGATATACAACACACCAGAATGCTGCTACCATTTTTTTAATTAATTGCATTATGCATTATACATTCAGATGATTTGGTCAGGAGCTCTTTGTCTCCTAACTGATTTTGAGAAGTGTAACATATCCTACCTTAAAATTCTTTAAAACTTGCTGTGTATTTTTGGGTTGTGAGTAAGGCTTGGGTGTCAGCATAGGCACAGCCTTGGAGACAACAGTTTTGCTGGGGGATGTACGGCCTGTTGAATCACTGGGCTCTAATTCAGCGGTTGGAACAATGGTTGCTTCAATGGTAGCAGTGAATTTTGGAGCAGGAAGCGATTGTTGCCTTAAGTATCTTAGAGGGTTTGGGTCTTTCAGTGGGGAATCTGGCTCCACTGAATGGCTTCTTTCCAGAATTTTTGGCATCTGCAGACGCTCAAGGACAGCTTCACTAATGGTGAATCTTTCGATATACTGTTGGAGGATGCTCTCGGCCTCCTCCTGAGACTTTGCGTTCTTGTACGCCTCATGAAGCTCCCGCTCTCTTCTCTCTCTGCAAGGGAGACAGCACAAGAAATACCACCTGAAAACTAACACTGGCAACCACTCCTATTTCCTCAGCTCCATCCCCATCCTTCCCCCTCCTTCAACTCAAGCCATGCAAGCACAGCTGCCCACAGTTATGCATCACCTATGAAGCACACAGCATTTTTAGACACACACGCTGCACTGCAGTAAAACAACATACTTCTCTTCCACAATTTCTCGGTAGGTTTTGATGCTTTTCCTTCGCTCATTTGTTCCCTCTCCAGACAATAACCTTTCCATTTTCTTTCTCTCCGCTTCTTTTTTTATTAAATCCTGTGAAGCACTCCTTCGGCGACTCTTCCACCGAGCTAGGTCCTACAAGGGAAGGAAGGCACCTGAATGCAAGGTTGCAAATAGCTGAAAACTGGCCACAGAAATTAGTGCAATTAATGATGCTTTGTTATGCTCACTCCTGGCTGTGGAGCAGGCTGACATTACCTGCATGGACACTGGATGCAGTAACTTTTATTTTAAAGGGAAAAGGAGATTATACCATAAAATTCAGATACTGCTTGAACAATTTTTTTTTTTTTTACTAACTATATGATACAGTGAGAATTTTTTATCTCCACTGGTATATTTTTTTGGCTTTCTGGTGCTGCAGAAGCAGGCTAGCTAATAACATTAGGAAATTCAGCATAAAGAGCCCAGTCAGGGCATTTTCAGTCAGGCCAACTCTAGGGACCAAAACTGACTCCACAGGAAGACGAAGCAGCAAAACTAAGTTTGGCGTAGGATTTTAATTATCAGGTGTGTGGGAGGCAGGAGGTCACAGGTGGAAGGGACATTGTTTCCCCACTAACTACAGTGGCACTGATAGGCTTTCCTGGATGGCAGATAATCACAGCCTTTGCTCGTACTATCAGCCAACTACATGGAAGGACTGTTGGTCAAGGGGCTGTTCAGCCAGAAAAATGCATCCAGGCTTAAACTCTTCTTCATGGGCACCCTACCATATTTTGGGTCCAGCTCCGAGCAACACAGGTTATGGACTGAAGTGGCTCAAACCTGGTTGACCTGAGATATGTAAGAGCATAAAGACTATAGTTTGCATCAGCCTGTGTCGACATGGCCTTTTTAGGTTAATCATCTTATTCTTTTTGGAAGCTCCCCATGCAAAATTGTCCCGAACCACTGAATCTGGTTCTTCATCTTTCCTATAAAACCAGGCTTACACCAAAACACAAAGAACCACAGAAGATACCTGCTATGGGCATCTCTTTCTTGCATCCTGCCTGGGTTACGAATTCACAAGTCATGGAGAGTACAGAGATAAGATTCATTTCACAGTAAAATATTACAGTAAAGAATTGCATCTGAACTGTAATATTTCTCTGCAACCAACCAAAGAAGAACAAATTTCTATATGTAAAAAATAACCTCTGTAGTGCTTTTGGAAAGAACATAACTTCACAGAAAACTGAAAGGGCACATTTGTCATTAACTTTACAACATCAGGAAAATAGTATACAGGTTATATTTCATGTAATCTAACAAATTCTGGTTTTAATAAAAACAGCGATTCTATACATATACACAATTCAAAGACTGTTTCATTAATCACATGTTTTTCCAAATATTTTAACTGCACTTTTATTGGTAAATGGCAGAAGGTACTGTAGGCATAACCTATTTTATTAAAACCAGGAACAAATCTTGTCACTTTTCATTCAGCTTAAAACCACAAATTATTGATGGTGCACTCAAGGGAATGCTCATTAAAGTATTTCTTCACATGACCTACATATATCAGCCTATAATCCCCTCCTTCAAACGTGGTCTTTCATTTTCCTCAGTTACTAATTATTCTCATTGAAGTGCAAAAGCATTTCTTTATTCAGCTACTCCCGCTATTGCCTATTGTTTGGAAATTAGTTTTCCATTAGCAAATTCCATAACATAAGCCTTCCTCCTCCTTTCGTAATTAAAAACCAGACATGTTTATCTTTTCCTGCTCTGATGCTTTAGAATAACAATAATAAAAAAAAGCTATGAAACTGCTAATTGCTGGCAAATTTAGAGCATGGGCATATAAAGAATATCAGACCACGAAGACAGTGTTGTCTCTACAAAGCCAGCTGAATGCCAAGGACATTCCAGTAAGGCAGTTTTTAGTAGCTCTTGAGAACTTTTAGTTCAGTGTATAAGGTGCTAAGGGCCTGGAAAACCTATGCATGTTAGCCAAGAGTATTTTCCATTCAACAGGAAAGAGTTCTCAAACCTCTTGAATTCCTTTGGCCTCATTCTTATCTCTGCTGGGAAATTATGGCTTCCCATATACACAAACCACTCAGTTGAAACCCTGCATTGTTCTACTACTGACAGTTATTTCTTAGTTGTATGTATTGTTCTTTTTTGGACTTTTCCTTGAATTTTCTTTCAAAAGCTTCTCTGAGATGTTTTGTAGTAGCTGTTGTTATAGCGGGAATTGCTGTACCAACTACTTGAATTCAACAGTTTTTTGTTTTAATATATCCAAAGTTCCTCATTTAAAATCAGTCTTTCAGGAATTAACATGATTGCTATTGAAATTCCTGATGCTAACTTAACTGCAAATTATTCACAATGCTTTTCTGACCCTAAGTAAGGTACTTATTAATTTGCTGGATATAATGCAAAATGCCAGAACAGCTTAAAAACATGTTAAGCAAGAAGCAATGTTGTACTTGCTCCTTTACTCAACATGTGACATATTAAGTAATGTTTTGAAAGGGCTTGTAACATAAGCGGGGTGTATCTAACTCAAAGAGGAACGTGTTTGCTTAGATAAGATGGAAGACATAAGCACTTTCTGTATCTATCCAAATTTATTAAAACCAAGTCCAACCTAGGTATTTATCATCCTGCTTAGTCTTGCACTGTGTCATTTTTGACATTCATGTACTATAAAAATCAGAGAATTCAGCAGACAGCTCTTCTGCTTCCATTTTACTGGCCACAGTTCAATTACGTTTTCTTAAAAAGCAAAATACCAGGTACACATGCAGAGGGACCTAAAGGACTTGTACGCTCTAATTCACATCAAATTATCAGCTTTTATGCTTTTAGCAGCAACCCACTGAAAAATGAAAAAGGAAAAAAAAATCCTGATTAGTTTTAGTAGAGAGCTAGAAAACAGCTGCAGATCTAGCATTTTGCTTTTTCCCTAGCTAGCTGGCCTCTATGCTGCTTTTGCAGATAATGTTGCATACTCACATCTTGCCATCTAGTCTCATCCTCTTTCAGTTGGTTGTGTATATTCTGCAGTTTTTCATGGCGAGCTTTGCTATGAGGCTGCATCACAGCTTCATCTTCACACCTCATGTCAAACATGCTCATGCTCCTAAACAAAGGGGGAATATTAGGAAATGCGGTGTTATTTACAGCTTATATTCCTTCAGCATGTTGGAGTTAAGGCCACATGAGGGTGCTACAGCAGAATCAAACACCTGCACCGTTTAGAAGCTCCCAAAAGCAGCAGTCCATCAGGACTAATTAGCATCCCCGTGACTTCCACATAGTACTTCAGGCACTATACTCCTCAGTCTTCTCTTGTCATGGGTAGTTGGGTAGTTGACAGCAACTCTGTCTCTCACTACATAGCACTACTAACATTAAAGCTCCAACAATAGCTCTTATTAAAAATATTCTATCCAGAGCTGATTTCAGACTATTTAACTCTCTGAAGATCAATTTCCCAATCAGTTTTCAAGAGCCCTCCAATTATTCTCATATTGCAGAGATAAGTAAGTTTTCACTTTATTGCAAAACAAGAGAGGCTTGAGAAGTACATTCTGGGCAGCACAACAGGCTAAAGGCTATTGTTAGAGGAGCTGGGAGAACCTGCCCAGAGAAGTACATGCAGTGCAAACAACATGCTACTTCCTCCTCTGCCCTTCCCCTCCCTGCTTTGAAGAAACTCAATGCTATCAACATCAACTCATTAATACATCTAATCTAACAAAAGAAAAGCTAACTACGCAACAAACATTCATGTCCAGGCCCCAACAATTTCTTTATGCACATTCTATTTCTGTCCTTGACCTTTCAAAAGTTAAAATAAAAAAAAGGTCATAGTTTGATATTATACATGCATTCATGTTACCTAAAGATGTTCACATGAAGATAATGTACTTTACTTTCCCCCTCCCCAGTACCTATTATTAGTAAAACATGACCTCAGTTGTGCCATTAAAAGCAAAAAGAAAAAGAAAAAGCCATGCAGTTCCACATGAGGTAATTTCACAACCATCTTCAGAAGATCATCTGCCAATTAGCAGGAGAAGCACCAAATGAAGATAAAAAAGTAGGCAACTGTGTACATAGTAATTAAAGTCAATACACGCAGAAAGCTGTGCAGATATAAATTTAGCCCACATTTATATTTAGGCAAGCGAAGACATGAATGAATCCTGCATTTATATTCAAGCAAGCGAAGAACGTGAATGAACCTCTCTCAAGAATGAAAGGTCTGGACAGTGCACAGATCCTATCCTGGTTAGCAGGCATTTGTTCAGAAATGAAGGACAGAATATACACCCAATTGCCTTTAAGCGTGAGCAGTGAGGTCCGCATTAAAGCTCTTAAACACAGCTCTTAAACACAGTGTTGAGGATGGGCACACTAGTTTGGTTTCTCTGTGGGTAATTTAAGGATTGCTTTGCTCAGGATAGGGAAGACTCTTAAATAACAGACTAAAGAGATGGGTAAGTTTTGTAGTTGTTTTTAAAACTAAAAGTATATCACCTGTTAGGGGATATTTAAATTTCACCCATATTTTGTGAACTGGGAAGGGTGGGAGATGCATAAATGTATTAAACAAAGACACTCTCAATGGGTTTGTTCCAGTTTAAGAGCTTTTGAAACTCATATTAAGAAAAAGCCTTTGGTGTGAAGCATTTGCCACCTTGTGGCTACTGCGTCAAACTGGTTGTGTAGCTCGCTCTTGCACCCTTCATTCAAAGAATTTTTCATTCACATATGGCAAACAAAAACAGAAGACACCAACTGGTGGTAACTGGTTCTAGCAGAGTCCCTGAGTACTAGCCATCTGTCATTTGTGATGGGAGAATAAAAACACTTTTGTACTAACAGTCATGAGAGGCTACTATTTCTTGCTTGCATCACTCAGGTCTCTCAGGGTGCGTGAAGACAGCAAAACAAAGGTTTTATGCCTGTTAACAATACAGTAAAAAAGGCACTCTGGGAAAGGCTTTCACCTAGGCCAAGAATCAAATTATGCACTAGGACTCTATATGCAACTTGTACTCTAGCTGTCGTCTTCTGCTGCTGGGCCTTCATTGTCATGGATAAGAAACCGGATAGGTTCACGCTAACATCAGCTCTGCAGCCACATAATGTTATCTTGCAAACACATCTTCCCAAGAGAGCAAACTGAAGAAGCTACACCTCAAAGCACCATGCTCTGCCCTGACCAACATATAATAGCAACTATGAAAGCCACCTAGTTCCCTGAACGCGCAGAAAAGGACAAATGAGAGAGGTATACATTGACCTCTCTGCCTGACAAATGCATCCTTAGAAAATAATCAGAGAAATCAGAACTCTGGGCTTCTGCCAGAAGACAGTTTCACTATGAATCCCACATCATTTCTTCCCATTCCTCTTTCTCATATAAGCTGCAAATGACCCCAATCTGCTACTAATACCCACATGAATAGAGCTAAATTTACTCCTTCCTCCAACCATGTGCTGCGTCAGCAAGCACAGAGCATGCAAGTAGATGGGGGAGATGTAAAAGTACAGAACTCACACTCATGAGTTTTCTGCCATTAGCAGAGCTCTGGAGTTTGCATCCAAATTCTGCTTGTAAGCAATAGGCCTTTCTGCTGACCTGTCTATTAACTCTGCTGTTCTGACAAATATCTGGGACAAATCACTGAGCAGATCACCAGTTTATTTTGGTAGGCTAGGTCTTTGGGGTAATGTGATTTTTAATTTACACTACTTTGTTCTCGTACATTAGGCTTGTTCTTGTCAGAGATATCCTACAGCACAGAACTTTTTTTTAAAGAAGTTTGAACAAGTACTGGATGAAAAAAATGTATTCAAGATTTCCAAACCCCTTGCAAAATGGCCCTCAAGGACTTGATGATTCAGACTATAATTAAAAAATGAGAAATATGGTGCACAGCTTTTTAAGAGAATATGTTAAAAATCCTTATGCAAGGCAGTTATGTGGCTGCATTACCATTTTATAGATGTACTAAGACTTAACAAAGCCCCCACAAACATAAAAAAAAGGGAGAGGCTGGCTAAAGAATCAGACTCCAGTAAATAAATATATCTCAGTTCACTGTAATTTGCTTGTTGGTCTTTAAGTAGAAAGTGTAAGTCTAAATTAACCTCGGGCTGTCACGCTACCACCAAATTTCAGCCCCATATCTTAAGGAGATGGGAATGGGGCTGATAAGCAGCAGCAAGCTAGGCATAGGAAAGGCAACTCCAAGGAAAAGAGATAGATCCACCACACTGCAGTCATATTATTAAGTTAGCCTTCTGGTGCCTTTCCCCCTTCAGAAGAGGCTATGCTGCTAGCACTTTACCACTTAACAGTGGGCCCAAACACACCATTCTTTGGGCTTCTCCTCTCCATTCTGCTAAATCTGATCTGGAGGGAAATGAAAAAGCCCAAACATAGTCCAAATAGACATTTCTTCCCCAGATCTAGAATGAATCCCACTTCTACACTGTGCAGCATGGAAGGTTACAGACATCCGAAACCTGAGAGAGGGTTACAAGAAGTCTGGGGAATGGAGAAAGGAAAGAGGGAACCATTAGCGTCCTCTTGCCCCCACAAGAGAAAACTAGTACCTCATGCAGTGTTTACACTGTTGAACTATCTTTAATTATGTCTATGGAGTCTCCAGAGCAATCACAACGACTAGCCATGGCTGTCTCCTTCACACCAAATTATGCCTAGTACTGCCTTTGTTGGACCTTGAGACAGTCCTGGGCTGATGACAGGGTCTAACGTCCGCTGACCATTACTGCCAGCAAAGGGAACTTTGCCAGTCTAACAAAGGAGTTTCTAGTTTTGCTGCTGGGACACATAGCACCTATTCTAAGATTGAATTCGAGTTACCGAACTCTTAAAGGAGACCTGACAAACATTTTGGAAGCATTTTAAATGTCAGTTCAATTTATTCTTCCTACTTGCAAGCCCTATTTTATTAGATTCTTCATAAGGACTTGGTCTTCAGAAGGAAAAATATAAACTTACATTTGTAACAACTCTTAAGATAGTTTAAGAAAATAGTTGCTCCGTAAAATGTGACACATCCGGAAAGGACAAGAGTGAGGCTTGAAGAGCTGTTGTTTTGCCTTTTTAAATAAAATCATCATCAATGTGGGAGAAATATGATTTATTTCCATCTTCAGTACTGTCACATTATACAACCAAACACGTGCCAATGCCTCTTTGAAGGCATCTCCATGTACATTTTCTCATACTTGCATTTAATACAAATATGCAAAATGTGGGGAAACAAATGAACAAATCAATTGGATAGGTACACCTTATCAACTGGTAGAAAGGCCTCCATTTTTAAGCACAACACTTCTCATGGTTAAGCCACTTTTATCTCATCTCTTAATTTGATTGAAAAGATTTCTGCTGCTTCAAAACAATCACATTTACTCTAAGGAGTCAAAGGACTCTAGCGGCTTTGCCTAAAGAATAAAGTAAATTCACTTGTGCATTATAGATCTTGTAGAGAATATCCAGTACCTGACTCTAGCATTTGTCATTAGAGAAAAGGGCTGAAAAATTACATATGACTCTCTGGATGTACTTGTTTTAAAGAAACTCTACGCCATTCATATTTTGTCATTTAATCTGGGAGGCAGTGAAGGTCACGTGAACTTCCGTGCACACAAGAAGGATGTTAAAGACGCTGTTATGTGGATAGTTCTCAACTATTTCTTTGCTTCTAAATGCTTGTGGTTGGTAAGTAAGAATAGTTAATATTTTCACCGAACTTGCAAAATGGCATTGCATCTTATTCAGAACCACAGTTTACATGCACCCATACACAATTAGAGTATGTCTGAGTGCAAAAAATGTTACAATCCCACTTCTTATGTGAAAAGTAAAGTATCAAAGTGAAGAGCTTAAAAAATGAAGTTTAGTACATCATTACACTAAACCCAGAAGGGATTCAAGGGAGCGTTTTAGAAAGACAATTAAGGAGCAACTGAAGACTTATTTTCCTGATAATTATCTTGATAGTCACAATGAACCTGATTTTACTTCTGAGTTTTGTTTTTCTCCCTCTCCAGCTGTATAGGTCACATCTCTGTTTCTTCCCAGCAGGCAGTCTAGATTCAACCCAACTCCCTTTAGCAGTAATTGACTGGAGGTAATGGAAATTCAGAAGAAAAACAAAAGAACAAAATAAAAAAAAAAAAAGAAAGAGGAAACAATACCTTAAGCAATAGCTGCACATTAGCATTATGCTCAATTTTTAGGAGCTTTTACATACAAATTATTTTTAGCTGCAACGTAAGCCATATTGCATTCCATTTTTCAGTGCTTTTCTGAAAAATTCATTTGCTGGAACACTGCAAAATAACAATGAGGCATCAACTGCATTTTAAATTAGTAGAAAGACTGGAAAGCATGCAGTGTAAGCTGTTTAAAATAGAACCTCGTGAGCACAAGGCAACTTACTCTGCGTCATCAGACACAGCAGTTCTGGGGCCGAATCTACAAGACCAAATATAAAATTAGAGTGTTGATAAATACATTAAATATCAATTGCAATTAGAGCCATAAAATTTAGGTAACTTTCATTTGAGCACCCAACCTCTGTTAGTAAAGTAGACCAAAAGAGAATCATACTTGAGAGATTATATACTCAGCAAATAAGACTTACCTAATCACCTGAAAGCTAGCCATTGAAACTATGTAAGCACACCACCCTTCCTCGCTGACCCTGTATCAATGCCCTCATTATAAAAATCTAGGGAAATGTACCTAAACTGGGTGTAGAAATTAGTTACTGAAAATAGACAATACATTATATATTAAGTGCCACACATGCAATGAACGGAGAAAAAAAATTTAAGTTACATTCAACAACAGTGTTCACAATCATCATTACTGAAGCACAGAAGAGAGACAAGTATTATAGGTAGAAGGTGAGTCACACGATTTCATTTTTTGTGTGCAGCTGAAGAAGGGTACTTGTAATACACAAATCAGTGTCATCCACTAAGGTGACCAGCTTGCTTAGAGTCATACAAACAACATGTTTGTATCTGGGATTTCGCATAAAATAACATCAAGCACAGAAGTTCACACTTCTAACAAACAGCAGCATTTTCTAATCATGGAGAAGCAAGATACACATCTTTAAAGATGCTCAGCAGTCCAGCTGAACCTCTGTGACCTGTAAGCCTTTTTGCATGTACATATATTCTATAATCAAATATTTCCTTTCATTAGTTGTAGAAAAGAAAACAATGCATTACTCAACTATTTTATTTGTTTCTAAAAAGTGCATTGCTGACATACAGTATTTTAATCTGGACTGAAAACAAACCAAGCAGTGCAAAATCTGAGTTCCCAAGTGTGCACACAACAGAAGAGTAAGGGGTGTACAAGCTGTGTGATTCACACCATACAGAGCTCACGTTTGCAGCTGTTCATCCTTGGATGACAATGTTTCATTTTTATTTTCCTCAGGAACCTCCTGAAGGTTTGATGTTTGATCCAGGTGGACTTTGTTAAGGCTACGATCACCCACTTGGGCAGTACAAATAATATCATCTTGTCCTGCAGGAGGGAGACTGCATCTTTCCTGCCTTTGCTCTTGTTCTTGCTGAGGTTGCGTTGCAAGTTTTCCAGAGCTATTAATGCAGATTTGTGGACATTTGTCAGGCCTGAGTGAGCCAAAGGCAGCAATGCAAAGAAATGCATTAAGGAACATTTGAAAAATCTCATATGCATAATGGGCAGCATAACTGTAAGTTAACAAAAAACAAACACAGGCGATATTTGACAAGCTAAACGAGATAGGGGCACAAAAATGTAATTTTAATAGAGAGTCAAACGCTTGCACTTCTGTTCCTCTAATCCAAGAACATAAACTGTCGTGGATACCCTAAAGTTTAAACTTCTAAGTATACGCTTTAACTAAGCTATTCAACTTAAAGTCTTCTCAACACCAAACCACCGTTCAGCTCTACAACACTCGATATAGCTTTTCTTCTCCTGGCTAAACTGCTACAAACGTACACAAGTCTTTCAACTGTGTATGCACAGGCACATGCATTTTCTTCCCTTTTGAAGAGGTTGACAAATGAGATCCCTTCCAATATGACTTGCATGTGGCTCAACCAGCCAATGCAAAGACTGTGCAAAGGGTTAACCATCAGCTTCCCCACACAGCCTTACTCGTCCGAACACAGGTGCTCAGAAAGACACCAAGCCTTACCAGAAAGGATGGAGTTCCAGAGTCCAGCTTTCCTGTTTGGAAATCATCGGCACCAGCTAAGCCTTAAAGAGCCATCTAATTTACCATATCCAGCAACTGTTTCTGGCTGGAAATGTTGGTTTTAATAATTAGCTCATATTCAGCCAGAGACCTCTACAAATGTAATACAATCTCCTCACATATATCCTTTTCTATACCCTCTTAGACTTTTGCACCTGCTGGAGCTCTGGTTTGTGTCTTTACAGCGCCCTCCCAAAAGGGCCAGAAAAGGGCCTGCACTGCCTATTACAGCCTTTTGACCAGAAAGAATAAGCACAGAATCGAAGATAAGTAAAGAAGAAACCTCTGCTGGGCCAACAACAACTCTTACAGATAAAGAGATCGTTGACAAACAGCCCACTGGTCCAGTTACAAGGGAAGGAAAGAAACTAAAAAGAGCAGAGTAACTTTCTTACCTCCTAGTTTTCTTTTCAAGTTCTCTAGTTGTGCCCTGCTTATTCTGCTGCTTTGAAAATGGCATGGGAAGGAACTGTTTAACACTGGGCCCGCTCTGCTTTAGAAAAGCTCCAGTTCTCCTGGCCAGCATGTCATCTCTTTGTGGGTCTGGAAATTTCACTTTGTTTTCTGTTCCACCACTCTGCTGATGAGAGAGTTCAAGCTGTTCTTGGCTCTCCTCTCTGGTTACAGTACTGCTCAGAGAGACAAGTGAAACTGGTCCATGACAATGTTCACTTGTACAGCTCAAAGGCAAGCTGCTGCTGAGGCAACATGGGGTACTATTACTCAAAAGACAGTTGCAGAGTGATGGACAACTAGACTTCTTTAGCTATAGCACAGGAAGTGAGAACAAGAGGGAACTATGCTGAACACCACACTCGCACTTACGTAGGTCATATGTTAGAATTGGGGATTCCATAAAAAATGTATGCAAGCGATTATTCCGTTAGAAGCTGGCATAAAAGTCTGGAGAAAGCACCACAGATTGCAAAATAAATCCTCCCAAAAGATGAAAGACTGTTTTCATGCTGAACAGCAATTAACAATTGAAGTACTTAAATATTATGAAAGAAAACAGGCTGTTCTATGTTCACAGGATACATTCTTGTAAGTAATTTCATAAAACAGAACACATGCCATGATGAATGAGTAAAACACATCTTTAAAGGCTGTATGAAGAATGGAATAACATTGCAGACCGATCCAAGCTAACACCACACACAAACCAGGCACGAAGCTCGGAGGGATCAGCTTCTGTTCTCTGACCTTTCCGCTTCCCGCGGAGTCTTCAAATCCTTCTCACGAGCTATTGACTGCCCTTGCTGCTGCTGCAGCAGATGAGGAGCTACTGACAGGGGAGGGCAAGGTATATGAACGGGGCTAGTGGTTCGTCTCTGAAAAGTTCCCATCCTTCTAACCAACATATCATCTCTCTCAATGTCAGGTAAACACCCATCACACTCTTCCTCAGTGTTTTCTTGCCGTTTGTTCAGACTGTGTAGGGTTTGCTTCTCAGAGACTACGCAAGTGGCCGGGACAGGCGACAGTGTTCTCCTGTAACATTCATCCGTACCCGACCTTGCTCCCTCACTAGCAATGAGACTGAGAGGAGGGGTGAGATAGACAACAACATTCTCAGGTCAAACGAAACATAGGAAGAGGAGTCCTTCAATGCAGTTTACAAATGTTTTATAAATACACAAACTTAGCTGAATGAATTGCTTGCTAAAAGCATTCATTAAAAATTCTTGCTGCAGCCACCAACTAAGCAATCAGATAAACAAAAGCCAAGTAAATGTAAGCTCTGGTCAATATGTTAAGTTCCCAGAGCTGTAATTCTCTTCTAGATAAATGCCAGAAACACAAAGCACCAACACACCTTGATTTAGCATTAGATCTTCAAAAGGAAAGTAATCCCAATAGATATGAAGAAAATATTTTTTTCAAAGTCAGTAGGGCTAGAAAGCTGAATTCCTAATGTACCGAAGGCAGGCAGAGCAAAGCTGCTGGAATTCAAGAAGCAGAAAGCTTTAGCGATATTTCAGATTCTGACATACTAGTGAGTTGATTACAAATCAGAAATTTTGAGGGGAGCTCTCAGAAGACATTTGCACAGTATTTTTATGCAAACCCCTAAACACATTAAAATACAGAGAAGGCATCAGATGAATTCTGACCGAGGCCGTGCACACAAACAGCTCTTAAGTATATGCTACAATTCACCCCCATGCAGATCAGCATCTTGCAAGAACAAGGCTCTAACCAACTCAGCAGCGTTTCCTAAGCCACACTGAATACCTGGAATCATTCTGTGGCCTAGACACTTCATCACTGTGTCCAGCAGACCGGAGACTGCCAACAGCCGTTGAAGGAGAACTCTGAATACCAGTGTGAATCTCCACACCATCTTTCTGGTTTTCCTCCTTTATTTCACTCCTGGATGAAGCTCTGCCGATACTCAGCTTGTCCCATTTCTGCTGATCAATCTCAGTTACTGGCCCAAAATGCACAAACTTCTGCTTGGGGCTACCAGCTTTTTTGTTCGCTCTCGATTTGCGGACAGCAAAATCATCACAAATTGCTGCTTTCACTGTGGTTTCAGCTGATGGCAGAGTGTCACAGGGATATTTGAGATCTTCTTCACTAGTCAGAGTGAGGAATAAAAGAATCCCCCCAAAATGAGACCCCAGAATAAAGCAAAGGAAATTTTCCTACAGTTTCTAGAAGGTTTTTATTTTAAAATTTAAGGACACAAGTACAAATGTCAGCAGCATACTGAGGCCCAAATGACAGTGAAAATCTAAAGATACCATGGACTTTCTGGGGAAACTCTTGCACACATCCACAGAAGCCCTTCCTTAGGGACAGAGCATAGCATACGGCACATCCAGACTCAGCTCTTCACCCTAACAGAGCTAGAGCTCCAAGTTCTGTCCCCCCTTAGATATGGGCTGCGCTACATAGGACTGCACAGCACCAGTACACCCATCTTGTCCTGGGGGAATGCCAGTGGCATGAAAGCACCAGCAAGTGCAATCAATTCACTCACTGAATCTTGATTTGAAGAACACCTTTAATAATTCACCTCAAAACTAATGTAGAGACTACTAACATCTTTGAGATGAGAGAACGATTGATTTTCGGTGGTTGTGTTAAAACTACACACAGTAATACCTTTTTAGAAGAATGTCTGAAGAGATGGCTAACTTTAATTGGAAAATGGCACGCACCTAAATAGGAAGGCGAAGAACTGTTATCCTTTCCTACTAGA